GGCCAATCACAACGCACTGGATAGTTGGTTAATCAGAGCACACCTCGCTTTTCAGACTGATGAGATTTGTAAAAATTGACGCGTTTCAGAAAGGTGGGCCATAGAGGAGAAACAGTAATGTACAGTATGTGGAGAATAATGTGTTTTTTGAACCTTAAACCGCATAAACACATTTCATTACACCAAATACACAAAATAATGTTCTTTTTAGCAGCATCATATGACCCCTTTTAGCATTTGCTGGCTTGCCAAGCTTCCAGGCTTTGATAATGTGAATGAATGTGAAGTCTTTAAAAAATGTTTTTAGGTTAGAGAATCTCGCCTACGTCTTCTTGGTGAAAAAGTTTGTCTGTTGCTCCCCTGCCGTTAGCTGTAAAGTTGTGTAAACCCCTTTCAAGCACTGCAGACAGTGTTCCGGGGAAGAGCCTGGTGTGGGGCTTTTATTTACATCCCCTATAAAAGCCTGTGGCGCTCAGTGTGGAACCTGCCAACAGACAGAATGTGAATAACTGTCTCAGTGCGAGAGCCAGCATGCCCGTGTATTCACTTTTAATGCAGGTAACAGAGAGATACACAGATGCTGCTGCAGCTTCAGTTTGTGCTAACAACAAGCAGAAAAAAATTGACAGATTCCATGCTTTCTCAAGTGAAAAATGGCTGAGAGTTTTAAAAACACTCATATATAGTCTTGAATAAAGCAAAACAAAAATGTATGCATATCTCTCTATATTGTACATAATCGACCAATCGTGGCACGTTGCACGTGAGAAGGTGAGAGCGATCAAAGCGATGCAAATATGCGCACGTGTTTGTTCGTTCGTTCGACTTGAAGCTGCGCACCGATTATTGTATGACATCAAAGTACCGCAAGAGCGATTTAAAATCATAAAGAGCCGTCTGCTCTGCTCTCTATAGCTCTCGTGAAATAACGCCATACAACGATCGATCTGCACAGTGCAAACAGCCAAAACCTGGATATTTAGGTAATATAGAAGTCCTGGCAAGGGTGCGTCCCGTAAAAATGGCCCGTATGGTCACCCTATTTAGTCAGTTTGAGTATGGATTGTTGAATCAAAGCTAAATAAAAAAACACACCTGAACAGTAGTGTTTTCATGCAAATAAATATTATTTCATGCCGATTTGGAGCATTTGCTGTTATGACAGTTGCATGTTCCAGTAATGCACATGACACTGTCTGCCTATTACTATGCAAATGGGGTGCCTTTTTCTTCCTGAGCTGTATTTCATTAGTAGACTGACCTGACAGGTCAGACAGGGCTGTTTTAGATGCTGGCTCCCCTCCAGAATGCATTCGTTCACCATGGTGATTCTCTCTATACTGTATTTTTTTTTTGTTGTTGTTTTTTTCCACCACCATCGAAGTGAAATGTTAATAAACCATGTTGCGCCCCGAGAATGATTATTATATGGAGGTGTATGAATTAGGGCCGGCTTGTCAAGTTTGTCAGGGTGCTGAATTAGAGAGAGCGGTGTGAGCCATAAAGTGCCACTTCATCTGTCAGTGCCGGCTTTGTCTGAGCTCAATTAGCATGTAGATTTCTGAAAGCTTTATGAGCACGCTGGGACTGAAGGACCTCTCAAAACTTTGATTTATGATCTGAACTCCATCGCCGTTGCCACGGCATTGGGGCGGCCCATGCCGGTCCTTTTGTTTTCAAATAATGTTTTTACAGTTTGGCAAGATCTAGTGCAGTAAGTGACAAGATTTGTATTTCACACATCATTGTTCTGAAGAGGCTTTCACATGTTTGTTAAGTGATTTACAATATGTGGATTATACAGTGATGCACTGATCAAGCATTTGATGTAAAGCATAAGTAGATACAGTAGTGTTTGGCTGCCTCTCTCTCAATCTCACTTTCTCTCTCATTCTTTCTTTTCTGTAGCTGTAAGCAGAAGCTGTATCTTGAAAACCTCCCAAACACCAGTATTATCATCCCGTTCCATAACGAAGGTTGGTCCTCTCTGCTTAGAACCATCCACAGCATCACCAACCGCACACCCGACCACCTGATCGCAGAGATCATACTGGTAGATGACTACAGTGACAAAGGTAAGTCGCAGAGCTGCTCTCTCTCTCTCTCTCTCTCTCTCTCTCAGAGCATGTGCTTGACATCAGGGCAGTTTCTGGTGTCGTTCTGCATTAGTTGCTCAAAATGAATTTTGAATGGAGCTTTGACAGCACTTAAGTGCAACAAACATTTTTTTTTTGGTCACTTAGAGAGGTAGACGTGACTTTGTCATTCATTGGAAACAGAATGACCATTGAATGTTTACACAATTACAATGAAACTGTTATTGAAACTGGTTTGGTCTGCTAACAGTGTATATATACTTACAGTAGAGTTCACATTGGTGTTTTTTATTTATTTATTTTATTGTTTGTATGTTTGTTTGTTTGTTGGACTTCTTTTTCTTGGTAAGGCTAATTTAACTCTTTTCCCATAATTTACATGGACCTAACATCACCTTTTTTTCCCCCTCACAAATCTCTAGCAAGCTTCTCACTGACAACTATTACTTGTCCACTTAATTCTGAAGAAAAGGGGGAAAATTATTTAGGGCAAAATTATATATTATAAATCATGCCACATAGGAACAGTTGTAATTTTTGGGAAAAAAAATATATTAACAAATGATTTTGTTAATTTGTCTAATGTGTATGTGTATATATGTCTTTGCCTTATTAGTCTTATTGTCCATGAAAAGTAGAACGTAGAACACATTCCACTCATTGTAAGATTTTTGGTAGTGGAATGTTGTAAGATCTATCAGAATCACGTCTTGGCTTGGAGGCACATGGATAGCACACTGTTGAGCACTATAGAGCCAAATACTGTGCCTTTTGGAACAGCAACCCAATACCTCACACAATTAATCAGTGAGACCATCCCAACATACAATGCCCCTCTGTACTACATGACATCTCAGCCAATAGCATTCCATCTCACAGCTGGGCATGCATCACTCCTGTAGTGGAATAACGGGAGAGCACAATAGTGAGTGTGTACTTCGCTCTGGCCTGTTCTGTTCCCATTACAATACTCATGTCCAGCTGAAATGAGCTGTCATTAGACTGAGAGGCATCTTGCATTGTTTTGCTTATGATGATAAACAAGGTATTTTTTTATTTATTTTTTTTTAAATAACACAGATGTGTTGTCTGTGTTGGCATGATTATATATTGTAATGCAGTGTTGTTAGTCAATGTAAGGCCAGTTGGCATGGATTCTGTACATCTGCAGGGTTGTGTGTGTGTGTGTGTGTGTGTGTGTAAGAGACAAACTCTGCTATGCTAATCAAGCTTATTGGTCTTGTTTATGATGAGCTCATATGAGACACAGATTTCCTCTCAACAGATTTTTGACCTAGAGCAAGAGTAGAAATGAATTTTCAAAGCATAGAAAATATCAGTCTTCTGGCATCCTGTTGCAGTCATTTTAAAGCAGATCCTTCAGTGAAAGAAGCGCTAAATCTCTTGTGTATATGTACGGTGCTCGTATGAGTCATTTATGTGGTTTAAAGAGTTTAAAGAGAAATTTTAGCCAGACATGTTTCTTATTCTCTATGACAAATATTTGTCAATTTCCTCAGACGTCTAGCAATAAGAGGCAATTTCATCGGCCAGTATACAGAAAAAAATGAATTAGCTTTCCGGTACTGACAAAATGATTTGGTAGTTACATTTCACTCAGACTAAAGATTGACCAATAATGTCCAAGTGCACTTCAGAGGAAATAAGCACCTGTCAGTAGCGTCACCGGTCCCTCTAGATGCATGCTCTCTACACAAACACACAGAAGGTTGTGTACAGCTGGTGGCCTTTTTGCCTGGATAGTTGCTTTTGAAATCGTCCATTACCATCAATCACAACAGCAAAAAAAACAAAAAAAACAAGCAAGATCTAATTAGCATAGAGCAGAGGACAGTCCAGAATGACTGACAGAGAGCCACACTTCTACCATTCATAACCACTGACTCTAAGCAAAACCAGATATGAAGTGGATATGAAGTGGGTGGAAGTTATTGATTCCCCCATCTTCTTGTATTCTCTTTAGCAGCACTCATGATATCCATTAGGGATGGACGATATAGAAATCTCAATAATTTTCAGCCTTTTGATAATATTTTTCTTATTCTGTTCCAAAGAAAAGAGCTGTAATTTCAACCAAACAAACAGCCGCTGTAGCCAAGTAGATTCAGTTGTTGTAAGTACAATATAAGACTCACCACATGGAACAATATTCAGTCACAAATATAAACAAATATAACAAATATAAAAATACTTAAACAGCAATATTTATTTATAATAAAATGTTTTCATGTAAATAAAATGCCACATTGAGATTTCTGTAAAAAAAAAATTTGAGTGCTAACAATTGACACTAATGAATCATTGAATCAGAGTTTTGAACTGATTTACTTGCTACATGTAATTCCTTTTTTGCTTCTATAAATCAGTTCCAGCCAGCGATGCTTTTTATAAAATCTGTAATTAAACTCTCATATTATTGACTCTATAGTGAACTTGGAGGCAAAGTAAAAAGTGCATTAAAGTCATTACAATGTTTATTTATTTATTTTAAATTGGCAAATAAAATCACAACTGTTTTCATTTCATGCTTCAGGCAGACACTTTTTACCGAAGCAACTTACATTGATTTCAAGGTACATATTTTATCATTTTTTAATTTATTTTTTTATTTTATATGCTTACTGCCAGAATGTACTGTGAATATTAGTACATGACCCGGCCCTAATAATCATGGAGTTAATTTTAAAACATCTATGCATAGACCCTCATGAAAAGACCACAGTGGCACTGTATGATTAATTTTCATGAATATGTAGAGCGTTTGTGTTTCTTCGACTCTGCTTGTGTAAAGTATTTTTAGAGCACTGCTAAAGTGGAAGCTCTGCTGGTGTCTCTAGCTGCCAGCCTTGCTCTTCTTGAAGATAAGCATTTCCACCACGTCTCACTCTCTGCAAAAGAGGCCTTCCTGGGCACTCATTAATTGTGGAAACAAACTAAATTCATGCCATGCATTTAATTAATTGAGAAATGTCCTTGTCATGAAAGCTCACAGTGGCATTCAGTAGCGTGAAGGTGCTTCATCATTGCACACTTTTGTTGTTTTTTCCTTGGCCCGGATGACTTGTTAAGCCTTCCAGAATGTTTTTATTTTATTTTTTTTTGCTTGTGTGTTTAGCTAAGCTATAAAGTCAACTGCATGATGATTAAGTTCATATTCCCTTTAATAGATAGCATTCAATTAGAACATGGTATTAAAGCTCTTTTCTAATGAAGCAATATTAAATGGCTTGCATGAAAGATGACATTTATGTGAAGGCAGATACAACACATGCAAGTCAGCATTCATTTTCTATTAAGGCCAATTAAACCGCCGTTATCATTGCATGGGCATGTGCATTCATCCAGTAAATCGGTATTAGTGACCATTATATTGATAAATAAGTCCTATGCTCACCATTGTTTCTATTTGAATAGGGGTAAAAGATAACCAGTGCACTTAAAGGAATATTCTGTGTAAATTCTGTGTATTAAAAAAAAAAGAAAGCTCAATCGGCAATGTCATTTTTTTCTCTGATGTCAACGCTGAATTTTCAGCAGCCATTCTTCTGTGTCACACGATCCTTCAGAAATCATTCTAATATGCTGATTTGCAGCTCAGGATACATTTATTATAATCGGTGTTGAAAATAGTTGTTGCTTTAATATTTTTTTTTTCTGGAAATTGTGATTCAATTTTATCAGGATATTTTGATAAATAGAAAGTTCAATAAAGCAGCATTTATTTGATATAGAATCTTTTTGTGGCATTACAAATGTCTTTACTGTCAGTTTTGATCAATTTAATATGTCCTTGCTGAATAAGAGTATTCATTTCTTTTATAAACAAAAATCTATCTGAACCTAGTGTTTTGAACAATAGTCTATTTTTGCTTTCAGTTCTTCCTAAATTTTCTTTTTACTTTCATTGTAATTGCCTTACTATATAATTGTGTTTGACAAGGCATTTAATAAGCCATAGTATTATCATGAAACATACAGTTATATTATATTATATAATATTTAATATATATAATATATATATATTGTGACGAGTGGGGTGGGGGCCAAGAGCTGTGGGAACGGAGCGAGGCCGGTGGAGTAATTGATGATGAGCGACACCTGCACCACTCACCGGTCTCGAGTCGGAGGGAGGAGCTCCGGAAGGATAAAAGGGAGGAGTGACGACAGTGTCAGACGAGAGAGGACCAGGCCTGGAGTTTATTTTGTGTTTTGTGTGCGGCAGTCGTCCGCGAGGGGCTGCCGCTTTACTTTCATTTTGTGTTTGTTTATTTTATTAAAGTGTTCTTTGAACATTTGCCGGTTTCCGCCTCCTCCTTCCCGAACTACGAACTTTGTTACAATAATTTTTTATTTTATTTATTTTTTTTATTTTTTTTGTGGTAATCAACAATACTCCACAAATGTTGCCAATTGAACTAAAATTCTGCCATAATTTGCTCACATTATTTCAAACCTGTGTGACTTTCTTCTGTAGAGCACAAAGAAAGAAACAATGACATGGAATTTATTTCTGGGTTTACCATCACTTTAATGTTGTATCGAACCCAGAATTTTCCTTTGAGGTCAACAGTGTTGCAGAAACAAATTTACAGTTCACCTTCTGTGAGCACAGTGTTGGAAGTATGAAAAATCACATGCGACTATGATAACTCAATTCAACTTCAATAGCCTCTAATTTGTGTTTTTACCTGCTGGAAGCTGAATTTGTGGTAATTACTGACCAGCCTCCATGTGCCCTTTCAAACGCTACAGATGACACAATTAGTATGGGGTGAAGATTGCCTGACTACTCCTGGACACACGTACACATGCACACACACATAAACATGTAGCCTACAGACACAGAGACAAAAACAGGCTCGCAGTTTTGCTGGCACACCTTGACAGTGAATGATTACTATGCTCTGTGTTTTGCGAATGACGACGAACAACTCCTGCAAGCCAAATGTGTTCCCCTCTAAGATAACGTCCTTGAGCTCCACCACAAAGTGATGTAAAGAACCGAATGATAAAAACTTTGCAGTAACAAGCTGTTCAGATAGCATGCTTTTCTGACATGCGATTTTAAAGCAAACAGTGGGATACTGGGCACTTTGCTAGCCAAGCCTCTTAAAGTCTTCTGCTTAGACAGCGTAATTATTACAGTCATCTCACCTCTTTTTGAGAGCAGACACCTGTGCGCCGTGAACCACTTCACAAAGCAACTTGGGATGTTACTTAAAGAGAGAGAGAAAGTGCTCTTATCTCTGATCTGTCAATGCTTTAGTGAGTACACCCAGCATGCATTGCTCCAAAAACTGCACCAAGGTGATTTTTTAAAATACGCAGGTAATTTAGGTGTGCATTCACCCGTCAGGTTATTTGCTTTGAAAAACAATAATAGAGTAAATAGAGGTCTGTCCCATTTCACATACATCTGTACAATTTTATGCCATTTTTGTAGAGCAAGGAGTTTGAGTAATGTGTTCACACTGAACAATTCAATAAGACGTGTATCCAGATGAAGTACTTGTTCAATCAACAGAGTTGGCCAGAGGCGGACAGTAACGAAGTACATTTACTTGAGAGTGGCATAAGGTATTGTAAGTATACAACAATGTGACAATAAAACAATGCATTTACTTTTTACTTTTGATACTTAAGTACTTTTAAAAGCATGTACTTTCGTACTTTTTCTTAAGTAAAAACCTGTCTTTACAACTTTCACTTGTAGTGGAGTAGTATTTGACCAGTAGTATCTGTACTTTCACTCAAGTAATGCAGTTGTGTACTTTGTCCGCCTCTGGTTGGCTCTTTATGCAGCGGTACGGGTGGGGTTATCTAGCCGTGATGGCGGCTTGACCAAAATTTGTCAAGATGGTGGACGTAGTGACTGCTGAAATTTCTCAGTGCATGATAAAGCTGGTCCTCTGGGTGTTGGTGGTCCACTGATTAATGCGAAGACAGGTCAGTTGACCATGAGAAGAAGAGATAAGACCTGTCTGGATGCCCTTGGACATTTTGCTGCGTTGGTGAGGCTTCTGTGGAGGGCAAAATGGCAGAAAATCTCTGGAGTCCCTGTAGATGTGACTGATTGGAGCTAAAAGAGACAGTAATGTGCTCTTTGTTACTGCCAGTCTGCCATGATGTGAACGTTTGAATCAAGAATCAATCCTCTTGTTGGCCACCTCATGGAGACTGTCAGTAGTCAACTATTATCAGGCCGCTGTGGTGATTGACACACACACACACACACACACACACAAAGGCAACTTCATTCTGTGGAGAAGACAGCACCTTACAAATCTAAGTTGAATGCTTTGACATTATTTTTCAATATGTGTATAATATATATGTAAAAGCCAATTATTTAGGTATATATTGTCTTTAAAAGTATGCTCACAAAGCTTGTATGTATTATATAAACAATACAGTAATATTGTGGGGGAAAAAACAATAATATTGTGAAATATTACATTTTAAAATAACTGTTTTCTGTTTTAATATGTTTTAAAATATAATTTATTTCTGTGATGGCAAAGATGAATTTTCAGCAGCCATTACTCCAGTCTTCAGTGTCACATGATCCTTCAGAAATCAGTCTGCTGATTTGCTGCTCAAGAAACATTTCTTATTATTATCAGTGTTGAAAACAGTGCTGCTAAATATTTTTGTGGAAATTGTTATAGATTTATTTTCAGAATTCTTTGATGTTTGGAAAGTTCAAAAGAGCAGCATTTATTTGAACTAGAAATTTTTTGTAATGTTATAAATGTCTTTTTGCCACATTTGATCAGTTTAATGCACCCTTGCTCAATAAAAGTATTAATTTCTTTCAAAAAAAAAAAAAAAGAGGAAGAAGACAATCATCATTTAACTGAAAGGCAACAAATGTTTCTATGTAATAAAAAATATAATTATTTCATTTTAAAATAATACGGCTCTTCAAAAATTCATATACTACATGGAGGAGTGTATACTGTTAATGCACAGTATCTAGTACATAATTTAGGGCACTACATATGTAATTTGTTTCTCCAGTAGGGACCATTTAAGTCACTACTTAATTGCATGGGTTAGCTATTAGCTAAAAGCCATTACAACTAGCAAGCGGTGGGGCAAATCACCCCAAAATACAGGGATTATCTAAGCAATAAATGAATCAAGGTGAAGAGAAAATCCATTGTCTAATAGCTTTTTCTGCACAGGAGGCAACTAATGTACCCTAAGCTGGTTGGGCTCAAGATCAGCCTCAGGGATCAATGTTCTTAAGCCCAATCAAAGCAATTCCATCACATTATTTGGCTAGACTAATTGCTCAGACTAAAAAAGTGCAAAGTTTAGCCCTAATGAGATTGACCCGTAGAATAAATGTGTTCCCTTGCTTTAAAGATTATGCTGACTTCTCTTATCACGGGGCACTTGTTAAATGAACACTTCCTGTGCATCCGCTTCTAATTGCTATTGCCATAAAATCATTGCTTGTACATATTTCACAAGAAAACTGCTGTTTCCCCAGTGTCTCTGATTTAAAGGCACAAATCTCTGGATCAGCCAATGTGTTTCACACATTATCACAGTTTATCACGTACTGCACAATCTTTGCTACCCATTAGCAAAAATACAGCCTCCAGTCTTGTCAGTGGGTGATCAGTGCACTGGTCCTTTGGGTGTTGATGATCTGCTGACTTGAGCCTTGGCCTGCCTATGGGCCAGGACACCACAGGAAGAACAGATAAGACCTGCCTGGATGCCCTTTGGATATTTTGCTGCCTTGGCGAGGCTTCTGCGAAGGGAGAAATGGCAGAATCTCACTGGAGTGGCCATGGATGCGATTGATTGAAGCGGGCAAAAGAGACAGTGATGTACTCTTTGTCACTGCCACTCTCCCACGGCGTGAAAGTTTAAAGCAAGAATCAATCCTCTCGTTGGCCGCCTCAT